ATAAACTAAACTGTACTAGAACTCCAATAAACTAAACTGTACTAGAACTCCAATAAACTAAACTAGAACTCCAATAAACTAAACTGTACTAGAACTCCAATAAATTAAACTGTACTAGAACGATACAATAAACTAGTCTGTACTAGAACTCCAATAAACTAAACTTGACTAGAACCCCAATAAACTAAACTGTACTATAACTCTAATAAACTAAACTGTACTAGAACCCCAATAAACTAAACTGTATTCGAACTCCAATAAACTGAACTTGACCAGAACTCTAATGTACTAAACTATACCAGAACTCAAATAAACTTTAAACATTTTTTTGCAACAATTTTATTTCTTCTTAGTAAAGCCGGAAGGTTCTGAGGACGGGTCAGATATGGAGGCTGAACCTGGAATTCCCTTGAAGCGTAAACAGAGAAGATCGAGGACAACCTTCACCGCTTACCAGTTGGACGAGCTGGAGAAGGCGTTTGAGAGAACCCAGTATCCGGATATATATACAAGGGAGGAGCTTAGCCAAAGAACTAAACTTAGTGAGGCCAGAATACAGGTTAGAGACAGATTAATTTATCTCCAAAATAAGGGATTCTTAAAGGGACTGTAGTCATATTTTCAAGTGACCCTTCATGCAATCCTTAATTCACAACGGTACCCTTTAAAGTTTTGTCTTACCAAGTATGAATTAGATATCATTTGCATGGAGGGTCACTTGAAATTACGCCTACAGTCTGTTTAATCAAATCTTCAACGTAATTTTAGTTGTTATTTTGAATAAAGAAATAAGCAAAAATATATGAAATCCAAGAGTCCGACAGCTTGGTATTAATTTTTAGATATAAAAACGATAACATCCCAATCATCAGCGTCTAAAGGACACAGTTGTAAATTGTACATGGCACTTTTTAACCCAAGAATAACTTAGATTTAGACTGTTAATCTCAAAACATATCCATTTTTATTCAAGTAAGTAAAACTCTCCATTTCTTGTAAACTTTTGTTTTGAAAAGTTAGTTTTTTCAATTTCAAATATATCTTTTAATGCAGAAAATCGTTGAAATATTTATCTGATTGGACTTAAAGAAAATTAACTTTTAGTTTTGTCTGGCTCTTTAGCTGTATATCTATATTGATAGATCTATGTTGAAACCTGAACCTATACTCGGCAGTTTATTCATCTATTATTAGTTGAATGAGCCGAATCTAATTCTGTTTTTCTCAACATTCTCACACACACGCTCACAACAACACTAGTTTAATTAGGGAGCTTATTTTCGACTCACTTTTCCTTTCTTAGTTTTTAACTTTCATTTTTCTCCAGGTTTGGTTTTCCAACCGTCGAGCTCGGTTGAGAAAGACTGCTCAGACTTGCTCCTCTCCCGGATACAATCCTTTATCCTTGTCCATGCCGTACACTCCGTCCTACATGCAGCAGAGTATCATGGAGAACCAGGAGAGCTCACACCTCTACAACTCCGCTATGCAAGGGTTGTCGAGCTATGCTAATAATATCATGGGGCATACAATGAACCAGTACGCAGCACAGTCCTCGCTACTTACTACACAGGTAGAATAGGAGATAGAAGGTTATGGGATGGGTTGGGTTACTACACAGGTAGAATAGGAGATAGAAGGTTATGGGATGGGTTGGGTTACTACACAGGTAGAATAGGAGATAGAAGGTTATGGGATGGGTTGGGGAGGGTTTTTTTAAAAAAAACTGAACCCTTGCAACAATTTCGAATTTTTAATCCATCTTTTTATCCTGATGGCGTAGACTTTTGATATTCTAAACTTTCACTATTACATTTTGAAAAATTTATAGTTTGAAATATCAAGGGTCGACGACATCAGGTCAAAGATATAAAGACTAAACAAATTGAGTTTTAGGAGAGTAATCATTTCCCCTCAAATTCATATTCTTTTGAGTTATTGATGAATATTTACTAAAATTTTGTTATTGAGTACAAACTTAGGGTTGCTTATTTTTTTAAATAGCAACAAGCGTAATCTACAAATAGTGAAGGCATTTTTTATTTCTTAGAACAAGTTACATCATTAAACCTTCATTTTGATAATATTTCTAACTTTAAAACTATTTTCTGTTTGTATTTAACGTATTTTAAACATTTTTTGTATATGCATTTTTAAACTAATATATTTTCTCTATTTAGTTATCTCCTGTGAATAACAATGTGAGCAAGAACATGTTCCCAAGTAACAACGGTGGAGCACCGTCTAGCTCTCCTCCTCCTGTCTCCCATCTAAACTCCCAGATGAACCCGACAGGGTTCTCTCAATCCAGTACTCCCATCTCTCATTCATCCTTCTCCTCTCCACCTTCATCATTCTCTAGGCAACAATTCCCCAGTGCTGGCATGTACGGTTGGTACTAGATTGTACATTAAAAGCTAGTACTATATTGTTCATTTAGGGTTGGTACTAGATTAAACATGCACGATTGGTACTAGCTTGGACATGTACGGTTGGCACTAGATTGTACATGTACGGTTGGTACTAGCTTGAACATGTACGGTTGGTACTAGCTTGAACATGTACGGTTGGTACTAGCTTGAACATGTACGGTTGGTACTTCTATTGTACATGTACAGTTGTTACTAGCTTGAATAAGTACGGTTGGTATTAGCTTGAACACGTACGGTTGGTACTTCGATTGTACATGTAAATTTGGTACTAGCTTGAATAAGTACGGTTGATACTAGCATGTACATGTACGGTTGGTACTTCGAATGTACATGTACAGTTGGTACTAGCTTGAATAAGTACGGTTGATACTAGCTTGTACATGTACGGTTGTTACTAGATTGTACATTTACGGTTGGTACTATATTGTACATGTACGGTTGGTACTTCGATTGTACATGTACAGTTGGTACTAGCTTGTATATGTACGGAACCTGTTGGTGCTTAGCTTAATGTACAGTTCAGCAAAAGTTTACCAGTGACTGAATAAAAGGCACTTAATTATTTTATTACCATGTAACGGGAGACTTTAGGGTTTTTGATTCATTCTTAGTTTGAAAACAATTATATTTTGTTGTACATTATCTGTACAGTGTTTCTACTTTTTCTTATTTCCTGTACATATCTTTAATCTTAGCTTAATAGATTCATCTTCAGTTTTCTCAGATTGCTCTGTACATGTACAGTTTCCTGTATACTGTACAGTACATTCTGATGGAAGATCTGATTTAACAATATTAGTGTTGTACATGTTATTCATCAATCACTGTACATGTGATTCATCAATCACTGTACATGTGATTCATCAATCACTGTACATGTGATTCATCAAACACTGTACATGTGATTCATCAATCACTGTACAGTGTACATGTGATTCATCTTTCACTGTACATGTGTTTCATCTATCACTGTACATGTGATTCATCAATCAATGTACATGTGATTTATCTATCACTGTACACTAAGCGGCTTTCTAACAAAATAGTCATAAGCTGTGATTTATATTGAAATTACATAAAGCAATAATTTTGAATTTATGTTTTTATTTTTTAACATTTTTTGTTGTTTTTGACATTATCAGGGTGGATTAGTTTTTTTTATTATCAGTACAGTAAAGTTCAGTACAGTACAGTACAGCAAAACATTAGCCGTCCTTAGTCCATAATAAAGTGCCTTAAACAAATTAAACCTAGTGTTTTAAAAATACAAAACAAAACTAATAAAGAAATATTTAACTACACAATACGACCTGATGTTGCCTCTCAATCAAGCCTACTCTATTTGATATATTTTTATACTAAATTAACTTTTTAGAAGTAAATCTTCGTAATATCGGGAAATATCAAAATCTTGCTCAAAAATTATAAATTCATTATAAATTGTTAGATCCTAGGTGTGTTATAATAATATCTATTGTTCATAATAAATCAAAACAATTTAGATTTTTATATTTGTTCGAATTTTTTTCTGTGTGTTATGTTTGTTTGCTCTCTCCGTATTTTTAAGAGGAAAAGTAAAAAGCTTGATAGATAAATAGACAGATATATGGATAGATAGAAAATATTATAGACAGATAGATAAATGATTAGATAGATAAATAGATAGTAATGTAGATAGATAGAAATAATTTTAGATAGATAGATGGATGTATAAATGTATATTCAAAGAATTTCAACTACTGAGAATCGTCATATGACGTGAAATGTAAAGTTTAAAAATTAAAATGTACGTATTTATATATATGTAGATAGATAGATGATTTGATAAATAGATGAAAAAATATATATCATGGTGGACTAAGCCAGTGGGGTCGGTCAAATAGGCCTAGGATTAGGCCGGGTTCTGTAAAAAGTCTGAACGCGCCATGGGAGTTGTCAAAGTTAGCCTTCCGACGGGACAATGCCAAGAAAATTGACCCCTGTCGTATGTTAGTCTGGTAAGGGCGACGTACTGTACAGAATATGTTTTGGTCATTACAGGCTGTTATTTGGCAGGCTGGTACAAACTGGGCAGGTCCTGTTCGAATTCAAATTTACTACGGCCCAGAGTGATATATATATGATTAGATAAATAGATGGATAGATAGTTAGATTGATAGATTAATTTAATAGGTAGATAGATAAATACAAAGATGGATAGATAAATAGATAGATAGAAAATACAAACCTATTTATCAGTAGGTTGTTGAACACACGTTGATTAGAAATATACATGCTTGATGTCCTAAGCAAGAAAGATATATCAGTTTACTCTTTGTTTACATGGGAAGTGTACTGCAGTGGAACTTAAACAAATTCCAGTCTAAGTAGCATTGATATTGTTTACATTCCACCCAGAAATTGCAGTACACTATTTTATAAATAAAGATCACAATTTGCAAACTTTTTCACAAAAATCGACGAGAATCTTGCAAATACTAAACAAAAGGTAAAAACCTATGCTAAATTACCCTCAAGTTCTGAACTTTAACCATTTTGAAGCTGTTTGGCCTGCAGTACACTGTACACTTTTTGTAATTGTTATTTTCCTTAATTGTAGTCGTACTTTAAATAGAACTTTTCATTTGGGATATAACTACAAATATTATGCCAGTGGTGTCAAATAAGTTTTTTAGTTTTTTTGATCACTCCTGTATGCCGAGTCCATTAGCGCCTGATCCAATCAGGCTTCATTCAGGTGTTTGGTGTCTATTCTGAACCAATAGAAATAGTATGGCGGTAAATCTTTCTATTTCTTACTATCCAATTAGAGATATGAATCCTTAAATTGGCTATAAGAGTACATGGAAATATTTACTTCTACTAAAACTATGGTGTGAATGTGATTGAGGGCCAAATCTTCACTTTAGAATTTTCAAAATTAATAAATGCTTGATGGCAAAAGAGTTTGTCTGCTAGAGTTGCGTAGAAATCGCGCGATATTTTCATTTTTTATTTTAATTTGTACTATGTTTGTTCTTCACCATACAAGTCGGTCAACAAATGTTAAAGAGGAAGAAGCATTAAGACTAAAAACAAGGTGCTTACAAATGAAATGAAACTGGAATTAAAGTCGTTGAAATAAAGAATTTATTTTCGATATCAAACAAACATATAATTTTGTTCATTTGTATTTGAAATTCACTGTACAACGAAATCCAATGTACTTGCTTGGTTTTCTTGGCTGTACGATTTATGACACTCCTGTATGCCGTGTCCATTAGAGCCTGATCCAATCAGGGTTCAGTCATGTGTTTGGTGTCTATGATAGAAATTGCATGGCGGTAATATCTATCTAGCGCATTATCCAATTTGAGTTAAATCCTTATATCGGCACCATAAGAGAAAATGCTAATATTTACTTCTACTGTAACTATAGTGATGATTTATTGATTTACGGGCTATGTTGTATGGAAAGAACAGATGATTAAAAAGTTATTCTTATTATTGAATTATAACATAAATTTCACAAGAAGGAGATCATTTATTTGGCGTACAGTCCCTTTTTGTCTCATATAGTCTGTATTTGTACTGTACTGCTTGCCCTGGCTAGTTGAAATTTGGCCCGGCACATGAAATGCACTGGAATGTACCGTGATATAAGTGAAAAATGGAAATTTTTTCTTGATTTCAACCATGTACTTTAATTGAATGTTTGTCGAATTTTACACTAATTTTAACGTTGAAATCTTTTTTTTTAATAAAAAGTTTGTTAATTTAAAAAATGTTAAGTTTGTTTGCTCTTGAGTATATTTGTGTACTAAACCTGCCGAATCAGTACAAATGCCATAGAGAATAGAATATATATTAGAGGGGAATTTACTAGAAAAAAGTGTAAAACGGCCATTTTGTTGTACTGTTTCCGTACAGCAGGTGTACTTCACATATTTATGCTATAAAACATTTTGGGCCCTGGAATATTATTTTATAGAAATTCTAAAATTATTGTTAAAAGAAAGCCAAATTATGAAATAGGCTGGTTTCATAATTGACCAATGATCATTTCACATAGACTCTATGCCTTCCACTTTACAAACGATGATTTTCCGTTATAACTATAAATCAAATGATTTTTTTATTCACCTAATTCATTGTAAAGTTTATTTATCAGTTTAAAAAATTCGAAATTGAAATGAATAGTCTAGGGAACATACTGTATTAATGTACTCTACTGCATATAATTTGTAAACATTTACATGATTTGTACACTTTGAACTCCCTTTCAGGCTGAAAGGGATTGAAAAAATTCATACCGAGAGATTCTTTAAATTCCCCTCTAATATATTTTCTATTCTCTATAACAAATACAGTCTAGGAAAGTAATTAATGGAGCAAAATACCCAAGGTTATAATGCAAGGACAGTTATTTCAGAGGTTTACGCACCTTTTGTACTGCATAGTGTACTGTCTCTGGGATCCATCTTTTACATAAAAAATCAATAAAATAGTCTGGTCATAAAAAACTATTATGTGAATTATCAAAATTATCAACATTTAATGCTTTTAACCACCTTAGATATTAAACGAACAATGATGCATGTTTATAAATTCCGCCCAGAGAAAACTGGTTTCAATATGTACCCAGAGCTGAAAACTTTAGAATAAAATATCCAGATATCCGATAGTTTTCAACTTAAATGAGTTTAAATTCATGTGGAGAACAAGCAATATTTAAACTGGATATTAAGAAAAAGAGTGGTTTAAGCCTTAATCCTGATATCCACCATTCTAAAGTTTTCAGCTCTGAGTATAATCAACTTCAATTAACTTTCCTTGCATTATAACCTTGAAAATACCCATGTCAAAAGAATTACCATCTCTTTTATGTTTTCTGCTAATTTAAACATCCTCAGACAAAACATTTGTAAAATATACTTTTCAATAAAGATTAAATTAAAGAGAAAAAATATTTGTATTTAGAATTTACAACTAAATAGATAGAAATATAGAGATGCTTAGAAAACAAAGACAGATAGACAGACAGACAGATACGTAGATAGACATATGTTTATAAATGGATATATATTTAAATTTATAAGATAAATGATAGATAGCTAGATAAACTTTATATATATACATAAATAGATAGATAGACAAAGAATTGTTCAAAGAATAATTTGACAACTGAGGATCGTCGTAAAAGATGTGAAAAACTTAGTTTAGTTTAATTCTGGTCTGAATAAAATGTGAACTAAATAGATAGATAGATAGATAGATAGATAGATAGATATATAGATAAATGAGTTGAGAGAATATAAGGGAAGTGACTTGATCAATGATTTCCGAATTTGCCAAGTTTTCAATTAAACGTTTTGATTAGAAAATCAGAGTTTGGGAAAGCACAAAAAACACGTATTTTTCATGTTAAGAAAATTGGATTCATTGAATATTTTCTAGAAAACAAAAATAGAAATAAATAATAGATTACATTTTTAGATTTAATAAAATAGATTTCTTATGGACAGATTATACCACGTACATAAATTATTTAAATAATTACAATGAATAAATAGAATGATCGAATAGAAAATGGAAAATGGAGAGAGAAATAGAAAAAAATAAGTTAAGCAAGAGGAGGTTTCAACTAAAATTTAAAAACATTAAAACATTATAAAATGAATAGTTCAACTAAAATGCATTGTATTGATCATTAAACATTAAATAATGAATAGTTCAACTAAAATGGATTGTATTGATCATTAAACATTAAATAATGAATAGTTCAACTAAAATGGATTGTATTGATCACTAAACATTAAAAAAATAATAGTTCAACTAAAATGCATTGTATTGATCATTAAAAGTTAAATAATGAATAGTTCAACTAAAATGGATTGTATTGATCATTAAACATTAAATAATGAATAGTTCAACTAAAATGGATTGTATTGATCAATGAACATTAAAAAAATAATAGTTCAACTAAAATGGATTGCATTGATCATTAAGCTTTAAATAATGAATAGTTCAACTAAAATGGGTTGTATTAATCATTAAAACTTTGTTTTCAACTTCTCTTAATGAAGAGATATTGAATAGAACAAATATGTGTTGAAGTCCTGGTGTGTCTGGATAAAGAAATGAGTTTCTGCCACAAACTCTTTTTTTAATCCC